TAGTGCCACGATTTTAGAACGCTGTCAATCGTGAGACGCTGAAAAAGATGCGAGATACGAGCCGCAACTGTCAAACGCCAGATATGTGAAAACAATGGTGCAGCAGCATGGTAGTACAAAAACGTTCTGTGTGAACGGTCAAGTGTCTGCGGTTGACGGTTTCTCAGGCAGCTCACAACAACATCTTGTTCAATTGGACACCGCAGACAACAGATTTTAACCGCTTAACAACAACTGCTAGTTCACTGTAACAACCGTTATAAGTATCCATCCCTATGTTTAGAAACCCCAGGCGTTCTCATCTGGTTATCACATCGTGTGGGTGTATCTGAATTACAGAAGTAGAACAGTACAGTAAAGACTACATTTGACCATTCGGTAAACTATTTGCGTTACAAACCAGCGTGTTTATGATTATAATAAGAAATTGAAAATATAGCTGCTTGCAGCAATTACCGGGACCAAGCCCTTATGGCGGTTTTTGGGCTGTTTGACAATTTTATTAGGAAACTTTTGAACATTTTCAGAGTTCACGTGTTTAAACACGTTCTACACATTGAATTTCATCAAAAAGTCACTGAGAACCCAGATGCTCACAGAGATGCCGAAGTTCCATAGTTCAAGTGAGAATCAACTCAAAATAAAGATTTTATATTCAAATGCACCGCATGTTATAAATTCACATTAGATCATTCTCAGAAAGACATGGAACAGATGCAACTTTTGCACCACAGTACATCTTGCGGTCCAGTCATGTGTCTCACTGGGTTTTGAATCCACAACATACAAGTATTCAGGATCCGTGGTATAACACATTGAGCTAGTCACTCATTCAGGTTCACCAGGCTGCTGCGGAGAGGTTTTAGTGTCGGAATGAGCACACAAAAGCATGACTTAGCATGTTAACCTAGGGTGACCATACCTGCCATTTTCCCAGGACGCGTCCTGGCCAGGATTTGTTTTGGCTTTGTTTTCCTGTTTTCATGCTTGCTGAAGGTAATGATCGAAAAGTAGTTTGACCAATAACATGCAAGCATTGTACATAATGGACCAATCATGGCGTGTGAGAAGGTGGGATCTACGGTCAAAGCGATGCAATTACGCGTACATATTAGGTGTGTTCGACTTAAAAACAGCACGGCTCAGACCGATCAGTGTTTGACATCAAAGTACCTCGAGAGCGTTTCGAAAGCATAACCGTCTGTATGGTACTTTGATGTCATACACCGATCGGTCTGCACACGCAAACAAAGCCAAAACCTAGATATTTTAGGCAATATAGAAATCCTGGCCAGGACGCATCCTGGGAAAATGGCAGGTATGGTCACCCTAGTTAACCAGATTAGCATGTGAAGCTAACTTAGCTTAGGGTTAACAAACTTAGCTTACAGTTAACATGATAGCTGAGGAGCCAATTAACACCAATTAACCAATTAGCACACTAAGCTAATAGCATAAGTGAACAAACACAGGCATGGTCTACTTCAGAGAGGTATTTCTCGGGAACGGTAGTGAATATCAAAAATCTGTTCAACCATTTCTGTGCGGCTCGTTTCAAAGATCATCTGATCAGATTTTGGACAAAAGTGGACACAATTTGTGGGAAGAGTAATGAAAAAAAAACGTTCATTTGCTTCAATATGGAGGACAGTCAATCTGATGGAAAATGAAAAATCAGATATTGTCAGAATCAGAATAAGCCAAGGAATGTATTGACACGAAGAAAGTTCAATTTGGACAATGTTTTCAAAAGTTATAAGCGTTTTTGTAAAAATCTCTGGAACGCTAGGTGGCGCTGTGTTCAAACTTCTCAGGTACCTCCGGGACATGCTGTCGATCCCTACCTACAGTCATGGCCAAAAGTTTTGATGTTTGATGTTTATCTGCTTACCCCCAGGGCATCCAAGATGTAGGTGACTTTGTTTCTTCAGTAGAACACAAACAAAGATTTTTAACTCAAACCGTTGCAGTCTGTCAGTCTTATAATAGAAAGTGAATGGGAATCACGGCTTTGAGAGTAAAAAAAAACATACACAAACAAAACCAAATTAAACCCTGACACTAAAATGACTGACAGACTGCAACGGTTTGAGTTAAAAATCTTCGTTTGTGTTCTACTGAAGAA